CCCTCAAGAAATCAACCAATCAGGTTCTTCGCTCAAAATATCTCCAAGCTAAAAATAGCATCAAACTGTGCACATGATGGTTACAAGGCTATATAGGTAGGATTCCTTCTCTTAGTTCATATTCTCTTGTCTAAACCTTTTAATAATCAACACAGATTCCAGGTGTTATAACGCTCTGTCTTACTTGGTATTGTAGGATATAAGCAATCAAAAGCATCTTTCACTGAACAAAGCTCGACTCCATCTGGAAGTAAAAAGAATGTAAAGATTTTAAACAACGGCCAAAGTCAATATTGGACTACTCACTTAACACTAAGAAAGTCAAAAACAAAACTCTGCAAGCTTTCCTGAGTTTTTTTAATTCGCAGGTTCAAAACACCAGCAAATAAGTCGAGTTCGGGCTAGCTGTGAATGAACTATTGCGTCCGCGACATTGCCGCCATCTTGACTATAACAAAGCATTCCTCATTAACTTCTCTTATTCTTGTGTCTTCTAATGCCCAACCGTTAAGCAGAAAATCAATTGGGCTGAATGAAAATAATACGTCCAAGGTAAAGAGGTACACTTACGAATGATGTTATCTAAAGCCTGACAGCCACATTTCCCGATAATATATTCGTGCATACATTGTTTGAAGCAGGCGTTGATCGAGTACGAGAAGCTAAAATACTTGTTGAACGGTTGATCGGGTGAGGCGCAATTGGTCTTGTATGGCGTGGGAAGATTCTTGAACTGAAAAACAAGGGCTACTTGTAAGGGATAAATCAGAAGGTTTTTGATAAAAACGGTTGGTAATGATGATGATGATGGTCACGATGATAGTGATGATGAAGATGATAATAATGATGAGATTAAGATGATAGTGGTGATGATAGTGGTGATGATATTGATGATGATGATGGTGCAGGTATGATGAAAATAATGATAACAATAATAATGATGATGATAATAACGATCGTGATGATGATGAATTACATTTAAAAAAATTATCCAACATGGCGGCTATGATGTCAAACATGCAGATATACAGTGGAGAAAGTAAACATCTCCCATTTACTGACGTCCTCTTAATAATGGTGTCTACTTAATAGATTTATCACTGTATTACCGATTGCCAATCAAAAACGTGATACCTAGTCTGCAGAGAAGGCGTTCTTGTGGTTGGTTTGAGGAAGAATCTGGGTTTTGGGGTTCCTGTTTCAACTACATGTCCGCGAGAAAAATGGGACCAAATTTCCAAAGTTCCCCCAAAACCCCGGTTTTTACTCAAACCCACAAGAACGCCTGCTTTGCATGCTATGTGATACCTAATCTCAGTAGCTGCCGACACGAGTGAAAAGCGTCTGCGCATGCTCTGAATCCGTATGCAAATTAGTCAAAACATAAGTAAATTCGACTTTCAAACATGCCTGATAAATTGGACTTCACAAAATGCAAAATAATGCAGTATCTTGGTCTGACAAAAGTATACTCTCGAACTTTTTTGTATACTTGGAGAAAACAAACATTTATTTTCTCACTCAAACTCTTCAAAATTCTTAGAAACGTTGCTGAAGCGCACGCATGCGCAAACGTTTTTCTCTTGTGTCTGCATGGCCGCCATGTTGGATGACGTCAGAAACCAACCCACTGCATAAGCTATGACGGCATAGCATTATTCTACTCACACAACGATTAAAACCCTGCATAATTTGGTCAACATTTACTAACGGTGCAGAACTGTTTTTTAAAGTTGCAATCAACCGCATCAAACGTGCCAAAAAGCAATAGATTGTTTATGCTTTTAAATAAATTACATCTAACGAACGTCAACAGTCTTCACCAGCAATGATAGACTCTAGTTTTTCTTTTGTAAACTGATAATCAATGATTTTGTAAGCGGTAAGGGTGGTAAAGTGTTGGCGTTTTGGATGATTTGCGCAGTTAAGTGTTTTACGTAAAAAAGCGCACGCAAGAACGCGAACGCCACAGCTCAAACATTTGGCAAGCTTTGTCGTGCTTTTGACCGCTTTTTACTTCGAACAAATTCACATTGCAAGTCTGGAATATAATAATTGGTTCTTTTGTGTATTTTTAAAAGATGTGTAATAGTTTGGAAATAAGCGAACCAATTTTAAATGTGTTCTCGATTTATTTATTTATGCGATACAGTAAGTAAAATTTTCGACGCTTTTACTTTTGGAAAGAAAAAAATTACGGTTTAAGACTTACTCTCTTTTCCCGAAGGGCAGCAAATGTGTGTGTCCCAGGCTGTAGAGCAAATCCTTCAGCCCCTTCAATCATTGGGTATTCATTCTGATCGTGTACGAGCACCTTAAACCCTGACTCCAGCACGTAATCATTGCTAACATGGTCCTCCTCTTCCAAGTTGAGTTTCAGTCGAAGTCCATTCGTAGGCCCAGAAACAACACTTTTTAACTTCGGCTGTCCCTTTTTGCCAGAATTAAACGTATAACACTGTCCCATTTTTAAGTTCACGAAAGATGTAAAGTTCAAAGGACTACAAGTCTTTCCTCGCCAAGTACAAGGGCTAAGCCAGTCTAGGGAAAGGATCCCTTCGATACCGTGAGAAAGTCCTTTCAAAAATTCCTTAAAATTCGGCCCTCGCTCTTCGAAAAGAGGGTTCGAGAAAACTTTTATTCGAAACTTTTGCAAATATTCTGCTTTGAATTCTCTGTGAGAAAATATAGACAACATCGCTTGGATTTCTTCTCGGAGCTGTTCTTTAGTTTGGTTTTGTGATCCAGGCAATTGCCACTCCTTTGCTGCTGTAGAATACTGCTTTTTACTTATCATATTCATGTTACATAACGTAACTGCAGGAAAATCCATCACCGAAGCTCTTTGTCTTGTAAGTGTCGTAGAAAATGGTCGTCCATAAAAAGCATGTAGTGTGTCATAAACCTGCTTGCCACACACGCCAATAGCTGCTCCTAAAGCCAAGAACCAAAAACACTTTCTAAAGACACTTTTCTCGTTGAAATATCTCACTCCGTGAAGACTTGTGTTACCGAAGAACTCGCGGACTTGGGAAACCTCTTCGGGGTTCTGTTGTTTACAAACTGGCTTTATTTCATTGTCCATTTTTACGATAAATCTAGACTGAAAGGTTGTGTTATTCACAGTACTTAAACTCACTGACTCATTCAATCGACTTCAAAGGCTATATTGAAGCGGAACTCACTTAGCGTGAACAAGTTTAGAGATAACTGTTCTTCCGAACTTGGATGCTAATGCAGAACAAATTAAACCATGGTTAATATTAATTATGATTAAACTGACGAATCGTAGATAAACTACTTTAATTTTATGAAATGTGTTTTTGAGACCCCAACTGAGGCAGGTTTTTTTAATCTGCTTATACACTCGATGTAGCATACACTTAACATATACTTTAATTTTATTTGCTTAGGACCAAGTTTGTTTTGTCATGACCAAGCTACTTATTTATAATTTAGCTTGAAATTTTTACTAGGGATTTACTAATAACCTTGTAATATATAAACGTGATAAATAACTCATTTTTGTAAAAGTAATTAATTGTAATAAGTGTGCAAAAATAAAATAGAATTGAATTTTAGAGCGTGCGTATATCATATAATTTGGGGGGGTAGGGTGGGGGGCAGAGAAAATATCTAGCAGCTCAAAGCAGAAATTCGTAAGGTTTTAGCATCTTTATTTACAGCCAAGTATCACTTTCCTTCAGTCTATTTTTTTATTTAATATTCCCCGCAATCAATCAATCAATCAATCAATCAATCAATCAATCATTTATTTAAACACGTATCGTCCAAGAGCTTATAAATCTCGTTCAAAATACGAACGTATATTAAAAACTATATTACACTATATATTAAGTATATAAATTATGGAGCTAATATCTAAACAAGGATTCTATACTATTGAAGAAATAATTACTATAGTAATTATTTCTTCAATAGTATAGAATCCTTGTTTAGATATTAGCTCCATAATTTATATACTTAATATATAGTGTAATATAGTTTTTAATATACGTTCGTATTTTGAACGAGATTTATAAGCTCTTGGACGATACGTGTTTAAATAAATGATTGATTGATTGATTGATTGATTGATTGATTGATTGCGGGGAATATTAAATAAAAAAATAGACTGAAGGAAAGTGATACTTGGCTGTAAATAAAGATGCTAAAACCTTACGAATTTCTGCTTTGAGCTGCTAGATATTTTCTCTGCCCCCCACCCTACCCCCCCAAATTATATGATATACGCACGCTCTAAAATTCAATTCTATTTTATTTTTGCACACTTATTACAATTAATTACTTTTACAAAAATGAGTTATTTATCACGTTTATATATTACAAGGTTATTAGTAAATCCCTAGTAAAAATTTCAAGCTAAATTATAAATAAGTAGCTTGGTCATGACAAAACAAACTTGGTCCTAAGCAAATAAAATTAAAGTATATGTTAAGTGTATGCTACATCGAGTGTATAAGCAGATTAAAAAAACCTGCCTCAGTTGGGGTCTCAAAAACACATTTCATAAAATTAAAGTANATATATATATATATATATATATATATAAGTAATTAAAGAGAAAAGAGAAAAGGACCCCCCTCCACCGGACCTTATTGCGCGAGCACCATGAGTAAAGAAGCCTAAAGAAGGGATAGAAAGGAAAGAGACTCTTCTCGCAACGAAAAGAGGATTCAGTGTATTGTAAATTTTAATTTCCCATTAAATTGGTCGAGAACTGTTCTTTACTATTGAACGCGCAATCGCGAGCGAAGCAAACTCTTTTGTTTTTTTCCCGGACGGAACTCGTATTCACGAAAAAGAAGTAGAAGATTTACTCAGATTAAGTGATTAACTGAGCTCGAGATCACAGGAAGAGTGCGAATATTCGCGTCTCGGTAAATTTTCACCAATAGAGAGTTTTAGATTTACGTTCACGGCAAACGTGAAACGTCAGTTGACCATTCAAAAATTATTCCAAATAGCTTAAAAAGAATCGCAAAAAAGTCCAAATAGTAGAAAAACAAAAGAATATTTGTCTTTGGTGAGAAGGTTTGTAAAAGGTAAAGTAAAATACAGGAAAACGATGAAAACGTGGTCACGTTTGCCGTTTGCGGGGAGAAAAAAAAGTCAATCTAAAACTCTCTAATAATCACTTCGCCTTCGGCGATGAATTAGCATATTGAAAGTATAAACTTTGATATCTTCAAGATGCGTCACTCAAATCATATGAAGGTTTTACCATTCAACTATTAACTTCATGAAAAATTAACACTGAAAATATTGAGCTAGGCGTCGTAGGCAGTTTAATTTAATCGTCATCCGTCAGACGACTTAAAAGCTTAATGTCGGGTACCATGGGCGGAGTGTTCTTAAAAGTGGGGCCTATAACCCAGGAAAGAGTGTAATTGTATTTAATTCTCGCGGTGAAAATCTTCATAAACGTTTCTTTGTTAGTTAACGCGCTAAAGTGCAGACTAAGTTTACAAACACTGCAGTCGAGGGCGGAAAAAGATTAAAACGAGTAAGAGAAAGATTACGGAGCATTAGGCATGATTTTAGTTGCCATTATTATACTACGAAGCTCAATAATATGAATAGGAATAGGAATATCCAGCAAACAGAAAAACACTTAATTAAGGAAGTGAAGATTTTTACTCAGTTCGAAAAACAAAAAATATATAAGAAACGAGGAAATCCCATCAGCGATTTAAACAGCGTTAGTCCCTTACATATAGCATTCTGGCAATAGCCGAGGTAAAAAGATCGTTGGGGCGTTGGTCCTTATTCGAGTCTCAGTCGATTTCCAATGATCATGATGGATTTGGGCACCAACAACTCCTTCCACAATTCAACAATTCAAAGAAAATATATTTTCTTACCTTTTGATGGTCGTGTGAAGATGGCCATGTTTATAGCGATGGGTGTTCTTTGTGTCTATGGGACCGCAGTTAATTCACTGGTCTTCTACCTCCAGAAGAAGAAGAGAGATCAGAGACGCAGATTTAACCCAGCGGAAAAGCCTTTCGATCGCAATATATTAAGAGTTTTTACTCAAAGTTTGTCGGTTTGTCACATTCTGTTCTGCAGCATAGCGTTCCTTGCACAAGTAATATTCAACTTTATCGACGTTAAGAGCAGCAACTGGCTGTGTAAACTGTCATGGTTCCTTCGCCTCGCTTTTCCAATTATAACTATAAACCATCTTTTGGTACTAGCCATTGAGATCTACTTGTCTATAGTCCATCCTTTCGTCGTGCTTTCTGCTCCTGCCGCCAAGAGAATAGCCGTTGCCACCTGGGTTGCTGGAGGTCTTGTCGTACTTATGCCAAGCGCTACGTTTACCTGGAAGCCCCAAACCACTGGACCTCACAGCTACACTCTGATGTGCCTCTTCGACAACACGGTCTTCTCATATAAGTTATTTGTCCTTCTTGTCATTGTAATTAATATAACATTGCCAGCCCTCGTTTTGATTTTTTTATCATATCGCATTATCACATTTTTGCGAAGAAGAAACTCGGCGGAAAAAAATCCCCTTTCACGGAGGAAAGTGCTGGCATCTAACAGTGCGAGAGGGATTGTAACTGTACTCATTATCTTTTTCTGGCCCTACGGTCTTTTTTCGGTTGCATCGATCTTGAAAATTGTACTCAAAAGCCAGGAAACGTTCGCTAGGGAGTACCTATTTCTGCTTGTAAATAGTATATTGGCGTATTCAAATGCGGCTGTTTGTCCCACCGTCCTGTTAATGCGAGAGTCTGACCTTCAAGAATTTTTCAAAAATAATGTAAAGTTCAAGTTATTTTCTCGAAAGAGCGAAGTCGGAGTGCAACCCAAATCTAGTGCGACTTTTCAAACCAATGGTACAAGCAGTAAGGAATATACTTCTAACCGTTTCAGAACAGAACAGAACAGAACAGAACAGAACAGAACAGAACAGAACAGAACAGAACAGAACAGAACAGAACAGAACAGAACAGAACAGAACGAATCCGGCGGAACGAATCGGAACGAAACATGTTACAAAAGTAATCAATCTTCCTGAATGTTTGCCAACCAACTAAGAAGAAAGTTTCATTTTTTTCGTAGTCTACATTATGCTTAGAAAAGGTTGAAATTATCGCCTTTTTATGCCGGATTGTTTTACGAAGAAAATTAGCTAGTCGAGACTGATTAAATAGAGAAGTGACCATTATTAAACCTTTTCTAAAGTGTTTTGCATAACGGAATTAAAACAGCCCAATATATGTTTTATTTAGAGAACCTCCATAGCACTCAGTTGATGTAATATATTCAGAAAATCTATTGTATTTGCATTTTTATTACATAAACCGCGTAGGGTCTCCCATGTTTTATTTTGGTCTACAAGCTGTAAAATTATTAATAATTTACTCGTCAAAACCAACCAAGAATAATATTCTCACAGAAGCTACAAAAAGACGAGGAAATACTTAGAATTTTTGGTTAAGCAAGTCTCAAGAAGAAAAGACAACCCAATATGGCAAGCTCTGAACTCACAGATCAAGAAAAAACACAGAGAAACGAAGCGAATGATAATACGGAGCCGAATGAAGGTGCAGAGAACATTATAAACCTTGTAGCTGCAAGAAAACTATGCGACTTGAAGCCTAAATTTATGTACAATTGTCTGTTGGTTGGAGTTTTAATTTCGTACGGCCTTGCTGGTGGATTCGTTTTCAAGACTTTTGAAGCAGCTCCGATTGATTTTGAAGAGAAAACTGAAGCTATTAAAGCTACTCCAAGCGCTGAAGACTTACTAAATGAATTGCTGAAGACCCAAAACAAAAACACGGAACCGTTTGACGAGGAATGGCGACGCTTCGCCATAGCAAAGATTGACGAGTTTGTCGACGTGAAAACAAAAGCTGGACAGGTCGAACTGAATCCAGTGGAATGGAGTTTTGCAGATTCATGGCTTTTTGCCTGTACCATTTTTACGACAATTGGTAAGAAAACCTTTGCAAATACTGTTATTTAATTTGAAAAACTATTCGTTTTTCACATATACAATACTCTACATAATTTGAGAATACGAATTTATTTTTGATAAAAAATCTCGGTGTAGAAATCACCGGATGTAGTTATTTCTTAAATTTCTGGAAAATTAATGAGAATGCCTTGAAACCTTTTAAATTTCGCCAAATTATTTTGATAAAACTGTAAATACAGAAATAGAGTTGTGTGAGCCAATTTTGAGGAAATTTAGAATTAAATTTAATACTGAGTTTACGCGCCTAAATTATATTCGAAAAAGGTTTTCATGGGAGAGGGGGAGGGGAGGGTGTCAAAACGTTTGGCCATACTGTTTTAAGAAACTCAAATTAAAAAAAAATAAAAAAATGAGGGGATAGGAAAGTTGTAGAAGGCATTCATTTTTTTATTTTATACAAACACGAGAACTGTGTACTGACCTTATTTGTTCTTGTAGGATATGGCAACATCGCCCCGTTGTCCATAAAAGGAAGGTTCTTTTGTATGCTGTTTGCTACTATTGGGATCCCTTTGTTTTCGGTAGTCGCGGGTAGTCTGGCTTCATTTATCATGGAGTAAGTTCAGACCTATTAAAGTTAAAAACAATGACAGACCATAAAATCAAAACTCGCAATTTTTGCACCTCCCTCTAAGTTACGGGACCCGACCCAAATATGAATCCAAAATCACATACGATTTAAAAATTTCTTGAATGTTGTATTTTGCAGTTTAACACGCACACTTCACGCAGAATACCACAGACGAAAAAGGCGCGCACAATCTGCGCAACAGAAGAAAGACGACACCTCGTCACCTGACGTTGAAGGCGAGGTTCCTGAGCTGGAGATAACTCTGAAACATGTTGCCATGGTTTGTTTTGGGTACCTTTGTCTTGGCTCCATGTTTTTCTCGCTGGGAGAAGGTTGGAGTTTGTTCGAGTCGTTTTATTACTGCTTCATTACGCTGAGCACTGTTGGTAAGTTGTCAAGTACTCTAGATTGCAGAATGGTCCCTTGATTTACTTACTTCGGGGGAGGCATTAATAATGAGGCTCGGTGGGGGGGNGGGGGGGAGCGCACACACTAAGAATTTGAGTTGAAAGGTGATCAATAAAAATACCCAACACTTTTACAAGAAACATAAATTTATCAACAATAGATTTCGGATAGCCATTTAGTAGGGAAAAAATAGAGGTTCAAAAAAGATTTACCAAGCGAATCCTAGCACCCCTTCCCTCCCCGATAAAAAATAAACGCTCCCCTACTTTTGTGGTACTGACTGCTGGAGAAGTCATCTCGTGCACTTTAACTGGTTATTCACCAGGTGTCGTAATTTGTTGTAGTATGACTAGCAAATATTATTTCTAAATCAAATAGTTCCTTGTTGGTTGTTGTTACATTCATGATAGTTTGTTTTATCAACCATTAATTTAATCAATATGATCCGAGCTTTCGGCCTACTCGGCATTCTCAGGGAAATGAAAAACGTTACAATTGACAAAGAAATTATTATCAAATTATTATTATTCATTAATTTTTTTATTCATTTTTAATTTATCAATTTATTTGTTTTATTTTTTCCTAAGCATGCGCGAATTTGTTTAATTTAATGCGCACGCACATATGCCATGGTTTGATCGCGTTTCTCTTTGTCAGTTGTAATGTTTTTTATTTCCCTGAGGATGGCCGAGTAGGCCGAAAGCTCGGATCATATTTATTAATTAATGGTTGATAAAACAAACTATTATGAATATTATTTCTATTTCCATCCACAGGGCTTGGAGACTACGTACCAGGTCATGTCCACCACACTTCCTTATTTGGCGTGTACATTTTGGTTGGCCTTGTCCTTCTCATCATGCTATTTGGTGCACTTGAAGAAGTTATCACCAAGCACTGCCAGAAAATCAAAGACAAGTTGAAAGTTGTTGACTGATGTGGTGTGCCTCTAGCTCAACATTTGGTCCTTTTTGTTCTTGCCATGCATGCATGCATGCAACAGTTCATAAAGAACAAGGATCAGTGGAATTCAAAAACTGATATGGGTTGCCTCAAGGATCACCCTTAGGTCCCAAAACAGTTTTTTTGTAATTTAATATCTTATGACTTACAAGTTTTAAATGTTTTCACAAAGTAATTAATAGTGCTGTTTTCTTGCTTACCTGTTTTATTTCGTCACCAAAGATGAATAGTTCATAAATAGAATAGATGAGCCACTTATCAACGCTTAGCTTAGATTGTAATCGTGATGGCTAGAAAGAAAAAAAATTATTACATTCCAAGTATTTTTATTAAAATTGTTAATTCATCTTTTACCCGTGATGTAATGTAACTTTAATAAATTTTATCTTAGTTTAAAAATAGACTAATTAAATAAAAATTTAGATCAAAAATTTTTATTTTAATTAATTAATTACAAAACAATGAAAGATAAACTCATACCTGTCAAAAGCCGAAGTGAAATCATAGCAAAGTTTTACATCTTAATCTAGGAACATCTGACATTTGTAAAACAGTAAAACTTCTCGATTTTTCAATTTATCTTTTTCCTTTAGCTTTCTTTTTTTTTTTACACAGCAAAAGTCATTATTTTTTTTATTTAAATTTTTTTATTTGTTCTTTATCTTTTTTTTACACAGTGAAAGGTCATGATTTTTTAAAAACACAGAATCTTTATTTCTAAGCAAATCTTATTTGTACAACATTATATTATTTTTTCTGTTATTTCTTTTTAAACTTTGCTTTGCTCTTTGACCCAGAGTCCTGGCCAAGTCCTGCAAGCGCACGAGGGTCTTTTGGGTGTATTCCAAGCCTCTTGGCTTCTAGCGACTTCAATGAAGATACTTTTCGCTCTTCTTTTCTCTTGGCTCTTAGCTCTCTCATTCTCTTTCTATATTCTTCAATTATTTTTGGCATGTTTTTCATATTTTCTTCAATTTTTGCCAACCTACAGATTATTATACGAAAAAGAAGTTAGTCAGAGTATTCAAATAAAGGCAATATGCATGGATAAAGTCTGTGCCAAAAAAAAAAACAATGCCATGTTTAACAGTACACAAGACAAATTACAAACTTTCAAGATATGCTTTTCTTGTCACACACAAGTATGAGGCACTTTGCTAAATTAAATTAATTATTTTCTCCTGTCACTAATTACTGAGCATTGAAACTGTGCATGACAAGTGAAGCCATATCTTGGAAGTGGGCTATACCTGTAGGTATGCCCTGTAGGTATGCCCTGATCAGGACTAAAGCTGAAGCTAGTTAATCATATGAATGCACAATCCCACAGTTTCTAATTTGTACCTTTATGTACTGAAATAATATGTTTGATTGATGGTAGACTATTACTGATTACAGTCAACTCTTGCCTTRCGGACACCCTAATATTACGGACACCTTGCTATTACAGACAGGAGAAAAATCCCCGACAAAAATATAGAGAAAGAAATGACCGTAATAAATTTCCGCTATTGCGAAAGAAGAAAGTGTATGCATGTCTAGGTGAGCTTTAAGGATGAACCACACCCACTTACTTCTCCTCTTTTTCCCTTTCATATTTGTGTCCCTTTGGAGTCTTGTCCATTTCTCTGTCCACTAGTGGTCTTTCTGGCCAAAAATATCCCTGAGCTACATACTTTTTTCTAAGTTCAGCAACTCGTCTTGCACTGAGTTTGGGCTTATGCCAGTTATTGCCCACTAATTTTGGTCTTGATTTTTCAAGAATTTCGACAATTTCTGGATGAGCTAAAAATAGCAAAAGCACAAAAATTAGGCAATGTGGTATGCATATTGTAGGTAAATGTCAGCTAGCTTTCTTGGCCTTAAATTTGGAGAACAACAATTATACCATAGATCCAATGGATCTCTCTAGTTTTGGCATGATATTTTCCCATTTCAGACCATGTGTCATTCCTATGAGAATAAGATTTTTTGTTTCATTGTATCCACACTCATGTGTCTTCTCATGTGCAACCGTTAAACAAAGAAATGATACTCAAGGAAAAAACATGTGATTCTAAAATGGAAAACAGTGATGCATGATATTTCCTACAGCTTCAAATTAATTTGATTCGTACTTGTGTTTTTGTAATCTGTAGGATCTTGTGACAGGGGGAGGGTGTCTGATTTCAAAGGCTTGATATTTTCTTGTGAAGGAAGGGATTCTCCGTTTGAAGTTGTGAGATATCTAAAATAAAAAGTGTTAAGGAATAAGTTACATCCTCAAGGGTTAAAATATCTAATATGAAATAAATAATATTGGTTAATAAACTGACCCATATACTATGGAGAAAGGAAAATTGGAGAAAACTCCCAATTTTCTTAGGGCAAGATCCAACAAACTTTGCTCACAYGTGGTTCTGAGTCCAGGAGTTGAACCACAGACACCAGAGGAGAGAGATGAAGGCACCACCCTTGATTCCAATTTTTGCAGCATTYTTATGTTATTGCAATTTTGAGATTGTTAAAGTTAAGTTGAAGTTAATTTTTGTGGAGGGAGGAAAACCAGAGAATCCAGAGCAAAAACCATCCAACCACAGGAGAGAATCAAAAAGCAACTCTACYCAATTACGACACCGAAATAGAAGGACTCAAACATGGGTCACATAGGTGAAAGGTGTATAAGCATCATATGCGCCAGACAGATGCTTCACACAATACGGGTATATATTGGAGGCTAGTTGGGATGAAATATATCCCATATTGCCTGTTGGCCATAGTCACAAAGCGATGAAGGTCAATATGGGATACACTGGTATTTTCTTCCAGCGCCATCAATATAAACCTGTATTTGATGACTCAAAATTGCAAGTTTTTTATTTTGATTCTCCTATTGCGAAGTATTCTAAGCTGACCATAGATTTATAATGGCAGCTTTTTCCCAATCAACCTAATAAGAAAACCAGGATATTTTGTGAATAGCATTCCAGAAAATTGTCTTTTAAAATGAAATATTTCAAAACAAAATACAATAGTACAGTCACGTGCTGAAGCACAGGAGGTCAAGACAATCAAAGAGAATTTAAAAGTAAAATAGTTTCATTCCAAGACACCTTTCAGACACMTCTTTAATGTGATCAATTAACCTTGCATATTAAATTTGAAGAAGATCAATTAYTCTTTGAGTTGACATTTTCAAGCTAGAATGAGCATGTGGTGTCTMGTGCTCTTACGATGACTCATAACTATCTCAATTCTCGGAATTCCAGCCCTAAAATTTTCCAGCGCCAAGCTARGAACCTACCTGAACAGATTTCGTTGTCCTAAAAGACTTCTACCGTTAAAAAGTGGTAAAGAATTAAGCAAAAGTTTGCTTCGCGCGAGACAACTCCAGCAAACTTCGGCCGCCATTTTGAAATGTTGTGCCAACTGCGCATGCGCACAAGGGGAAAAGTAAAATTTGATTGACCTTATAAGGAGAGGATATCCTTATTTGGGAGAAGGCCTGCTCGTTAAAACATAGATGACGGGCTTGGGCAGCAAGACATAATGGCTGCTGAAGGAGATCTWAACATTGACAGCATTATATCTCGCTTACTAGAAGGTTAGCACCCTAATATTTTATTGATTACTATTATTTGATCCCTCTACTAAGCCCTGAACTCATTTTTACAGCCCGGGGACGGCCAGGGAAGAGTGTGCAGCTCGCAGAATCCGAGGTGCGAGGACTTTGTTTGAAGTCTCGAGAAATCTTTCTCAACCAACCTATCTTGTTGGAGTTGGAAGCTCCGCTAAAAATATGCGGTGAGTAGATGGTTAATGAGGCCGTYGTTTATGCGTCGAGGTTTTCCAGCGTATTTTTGTACAAATGCATAGCTGTTATTGTGAGAATAGTTCAATCTCAAGCACAGTTCTGTCAAGGATCAGTGTTTTGTAGCAGCTAGTATAGCAGCCGGTGTTGACTTGAATTTTGCGTCAGGAATGTTGATCTCGAGCATCTGTTTTAACCCTTAGAAAATTCCCAACACGATAGCCAAACTTCTCACTTCCCTCGTCTTTAATTTATTGGAATCTATTGTCCATTTGATACCTCTTTATTTGTGTTTAGTGGTCGTTAAGAACAATATAAATTTTAAAAACGCTTTCTACAAAGCTGGTGTGAAAGCAAAATGGCAGGAAAAAGCAAGCATGATGTTTATTCTTCTCGACGCCCTCAAATGTTCCCTTTATATTCCACAAAAATTACACAAAACAAAATCAAATCCTACAAATTTAAGATCTTTTTTAACCCAACATAAAAGATTTGGTAATTTTTGCAAGCCATTTTGTTGCTTTCCTTAGRGGGTTTTTCTGATCAGCCATTTATTGCCGACCGTCGACAGCTCTTCCTTCATGTGGGAAAAACTCTTCCTATAACAAAACCCTGTTTACTTTAGTCAATTTAACATCTTGTAATCTTCAAATCCTTTTTTCTTTGGAGAAAAAAACCTAGTACTCAAATTTTACGTTGTTATTAATATGTTAAATAGGTGTGACATAAACTCTCCTTGGGCATAATAAAAAATATTTTCAAAAGCTATTGTACTTCGTACTAATCTCAGAGGGAGATTTCGCGTTTTTATTCCTTCATACATCAACTCTTGAAAGACAGATATCTTTAATTTTTTTASCTTGAATAATTCCTAAAAATTAAAGAAATTTCGCAGACGTGTTGGCGTGTTTTTTTTTTCGGGATAAAAAGTTATTACAAATGTAACATAATATGATCGTTTACCAAAATTTATAAACTGGGTTTATATTATGTTTTTTAAGTTGTTGTTGTTGATGTTGTTGTGGTTGCTAATGTCCTTGCGCGGTTTTGGAGTTTTTAAATATTTGCGCAAATTTAGCGTCATGCTTTCAAATGAACTTGTGTTTACATATAAATTTCAATAATGGCACGGATTTTGTAAAGATTTCACGAATTATTTCACACAGCACGCTTTTATTGTCATGGTCATCATAATTTCCCAAAGCTTATTCAAATACTAAGTCATGATCTTTGGGAAATAAATCCCACATGAAGTGTGTTCTAGACAAAACCAAGATGTCAACACAGCATTCATATTTATAGCGAGGTTTTTCCAAACCTAACATCTCTAATATGATACACTTTTATTATATTTTTGCTGAAACCATGATTATAAAACATTTTCATAGATACTAGAATTCAATGCTAGGAGGTGAGGTTATTAGATACCTCTATCTTATTTCTCTTCCTCGACATTAGTATTATTGACATTTCTGTAATTATAATGGACATTTAATTGAAAGATTTTAACATTCTAAAAGGTTTCATTTTTGTGATCAAGAAMGAGGAGTACAAAGCACACTAGGAGATGGGGATTAATAATATTGAGCTGTTTCCCACAAACAACAGTATAAAACCATCAAAGTTTTAAATATAACAAGCTCTATCAAATTTATGCATTTTATCCTTATCTTAAATTCAATAAGCTATGAAATAATTATTGATTGTCAGACCAGTTCAATGTTTGTTTTTGAGTCACATCCACAGAAAATTTTTTTTTTTTTCCATTTAACTGAATAAGATTTTATGCAACTGAGAAGATATAGTATGATCATCTTTCAACTATATTATATTTTTATATAATGGAATACAGAATTTTTTTAGTTATAGTTATCTATATTTTTCTTAATGTACCTTTTGAATGCATTGATTCTAAGACAGACATTTACGATTTTCAGCAATTGGTGTCTGTTCCATGCTTTATATCAAAAACATGTTTTAGCTTGCAACAGTAACTAAGAAGGTAGAACAATGAATGCGGGATCAGTGTATTATTATTATTATTATTATTATTATTATTATTATTATTATTTTTACTACAGACATTTACGATTTTCAGCAATTGGTGTCTGTTCCATGCTTTATATCAAAAACATGTTTTAGCTTGCAACAGTAACTAAGAAGGTAGAACAANATATCAAAAACATGTTTTAGCTTGCAACAGTAACTAAGAAGGTAGAACAATGAATGCGGGATCAGTGTATTATTATTATTATTATTATTATTATTTTTACTACCATCTATATACACACAATTGAAAAATTGTTGTCGGGTTCAGAAACATAGGATGGCACATGGGAAGTATGTTAATGATTAGATACATGCTGTGACCAGCGACCCGTGGCATCATCAACTATTTTTAATACTCATTTGGCATTCTAAAGCCCTGTTTACACTGGCGATTTTTGCGGCGATTTTTGCTGCAATTTTTGCTGCAATTTTTGTGGCAATTTTCAGAAATATAAAATCTTTTGTCTCATCCTTCGAAAGAGACATTCCTCTAGGAAAATCTTGGTATCCTGAAAAAAATTTTACAAGTAAATTCTTTACCATTATTTATTATGGACAAAATTGCGAAAAAATCGCAGCAAAAATCCCCGCAAAAATCGCAAGTGTAAACCGGGCTTAAACCAACTGCATGGATGGTGCTAATGAATAAATTAGAATATAATTATATTATTTAACGTGTGCCATTTCGGTCTCAGCTTTTATATTCTATGTTTCTGAACCTGACAACAATTCTTCAATTGAGTGTATATATACTATAATATTATTATACCCTCATTTCAGGTGATATCCACGGACAGTACACAGACTTACTCAGACTCTTTGAGTATGGAGGATTCCCTCCTGAAGCAAATTATCTCTTCCTTGGAGATTATGTTGACCGTGGCAAACAGTCCCTAGAAAGTATCTGTTTACTGCTGGCATATAAGATTAAGTACCCAGAAAACTTCTTTTTATTAAGAGGAAACCACGAGTGTGCAAGTATCAACAGAATATATGGCTTTTATGATGAATGTAAGTCGCATATTGTAAATATGAGTTGTGGTGCATTCTGATCTAGCTTGGGTACAAGCAATACCATAAGACATAATACATACGTGTACTGAAGATTTTACTGAAGGCCATTGGTAAATGGTCGAAATGTCTAGTTATCATTAATTAAAATCAGAGACAAAACAAATATCATTGATATTTTGAATCCTGAATGCAAATTTAAGATATTTATGTACTGTGAATGCTTCACCCSAATTCACCCAAATTTCCCAGACTGACTTTTTGGAAAACACCTACAGCCAACTTAATAAAAATGGAGAGAGGATAGAAAGGAGAAAATAGGAAAATGCAACTTGCACAGATAACACATACTGTATTACCACAGCCTTTAAGTGGACAACATCCTTTGTACCAATGACAGTGCAAAAGAACATTAATTACCCAACCAAAATKCCCAATCACAGTGAAAACCTTGGTCAAGGCATGGCACAGCATATGTCTCTAACCATGAGTTTTTCCAKTCGTACAAAATCCACCAAGGGTTTGACTTGTTATCACATTGACTTGATTTTACTTATGACATAGAAGAAGAATCCTAATGTTTTTTTCCCATACGCCAGGCAAACGGCGGTACAACATCAAACTTTGGAAAACATTCACAGATTGCTTTAACTGTTTACCGATAGCAGCTATCGTCGATGAGAAGATCTTCTGTTGCCATGGAGGTGAGAAGAGCAAAACATTTGATGCTCACGATTTTAAGCTCTTGAAAATGTGATCAACTAAATATAAATTCCAATTGGATCATGGAATGAGGGCCACAGGTTTGTTAGCCACTGGCTCTGAAGTGCTACCTTATAAAACAGGGACTATTTACAGTCGTATTCTATTTTATTTCAAATCATAGTACATCACTAACCTTGATATTCTTTGTATCATYGTTAGGCTTATCACCTGATCTACAATCAATGGAACAGATCAGAAGGATTATGAGACCAACAGATGTTCCTGATACAGGTACTACTTGGGGCACTCTTCCTGATCTCCACCCCTACAAAATGCYTGCGTCTTTTCCCTTCACCATTAATTTTGAAAAATAATTCTCTACTGAAACCATTAGTAATTTTGATGGCAGGAAGACAAAATGCCATAAACTGTGTTTGGAGTTGTGTGGGTTCCAGAAATGTGGGGCTATAAATAGATAGTTTGTTGAATTTGGTGCTTAGTTGAAGTGGAATAGCCAGGATGGAATAGCCTCAACAAATTGTCAATGGACTCTCCCTCCCTCCCTCCCTCCCCTCCCTCCCCTCCTTCCCATCCCTCCTCCCCTCCACTACAAAGGCATGCACTAAACAATTAAATTGTCAGTGATGGGCAAAATAAGCATTGTACTATTCTTGTTTACATTGCTTTTTTTATATGGTAGGTTTATTATGTGACCTGCTATGGTCAGATCCTGACAAAGACACCAGTGGATGGGGAGAGAATGACCGAGGTGTCTCATTTACGTTTGGAGCAGATGTCGTCAGCAAATTCCTTAACAGACATGATCTGGATCTTATATGTAGGGCACATCAGGTTAGTTTGAACACACTCAATCGAGCTATGTGTTCAATGAATAAAAAATAAATCATGTTTATTTAAGTGTCTAGTYGTTCTAGCGCTTTCACACTAATTGGGGACACTTTTCACTCACACACACTACCACTACATTTAATATTCTATGCACACAACACTCAACTCACATGTTAATTTGTATGGAGGGAGGAAACTGGAGAACCCGGAGAAAACCCTCGTAGCATAGGAGATAACAACACATCAAACAAACTCAATTCACATGTGGCGACCGCAGGGCTCSAACCAGCGACTCGACCCGTTGGACTCACAGCAGTGAAAGACGACGCGAATGCCACCCATGCTACCCAATGAAAGTARAAAGAGAGCTATAAGAGCAAGAAAAGAAAAAACAACATTGATTCTAAATTTCATTGACAGTAAATCTTCACTCATATATTTGCTTGCCTCTACAAGGTGTATTGTGGTCTAGCTTGGRTAAGACCATCAACAAAAAGATGTTTGTACCCAAACTAGACCACAATGCACCATACCAAAAAGTCATATCCCTTGCATTACTAGTGGAATGAAAGAAATCTAAGGGAAGGGCAGCCTATGGTTACCTAACTTTGCCTTCATATATCTTTGTCAAAGGCTAACAATTGTGATATTTCATTAACATTCAGATATTTGTGTTTATTTGTTAGGTCGTAGAAGATGGTTATGAGTTCTTTGCTAAACGCCAGCTAGTGACCTTATTTTCTGCRCCCAACTACTGTGGAGAGTTTGACAATGCAGGAGGAATGATGAGTGTTGACGACACTTTGATGTGCTCATTTCAGGTATGTAACTACTAGAAAATGATATAGAATTGATGTGGGTTAGTCCAGAAAATATTTCTAATTCAATTTCTGCAAAGACAGTTAGGTCCTTGCCAAAATGCAGTTAGTAGTATCAATCGATAAACATAATATTGTGATGATTTMTACAGATTTTGAAGCCCTCGGAAAAGAAAGCCAAATACCAGTACGGAGGCCTGAACTCTGGTAGACCTGTGACTCCACCCAGAGGGCCAGCAAACAAGAAGGGAACGAAGAACAAGTAAGAGTAAGATAGGAAGGTCTGTTAATCATCTTCACTTGCCATTATGGTCTTGCAACCCTTATCGGTAATCATGTACTAATGACTGTATGGCACATGTTGGTCGACAGTCACAGTACATGATTACCAGCCTTATCATTACTTTAGATCTAGGATGGATAAGTTGAGATCAAGTATCTTAACTCTGTATATTAATGTCTGATGGTTTAGAAAACTCTGCGAAGTTTTGGTTCTATAATATGCTTTGCGCACAAATTGTTCCTTCTGTTTAAGTGAAAGATTGTGGTTTCTGGATCTAACACATACATATACACTGAATTAGACAACGATAACTTTCTTATGGTTTTCCTCAATCAGGGAAGGCGTATGTCAATCCTCTTACCTAGTTTTGTTAAACTTGATAAAGTCTTTGATTTGCCAAATCAGCCAAAACATGTAGATGATTTAGAAACTCAAAGATGACGAGAGAGGCTAGAGCATTTTTGCTTATGTGACAAGGAAGCCATATTGGTGTACCAAACAATAGAAGATTTCTGCACAGTTTTTGCATAAAAATAGAGTCCAAAAATACAGTTCCCCAAGGATAGAAAATGTATTGTTTTGGTACTCCAACATGGCTGCTGTGACTTCACATGAAAAGGCTCTATAGGAGATCAGCCATACTGAAATTGCTTTCTCTATAACCCACTGCTATAAAAAAAACTGGGTAAACTGTTAGATATGGATTTGGTCAATGGAAGATCTTGTTTCTCAATTCTTGCAAACAGTATAAACTTGGAGCATTTTCTGTGAGTATGATTRCATTTAAGCCATGAACAGAATTTTGGTTATTTCTAAAGATTGAATGAAAAGAAAAGAAAATTATTTTTGAGTTTATCTTATTATTAGCCATTATTATTAGCCTGCTTGTTTTATGGATTAAATGAAATCTAGTGAAAACTTAACAAAATTGCTCAAGGATTTGCTCCATCACAGTTGAGATACAAAATCTCCCAAGGTTTATAGGTGCTGTGAAGGTGTGTCCAGGATTTTCCATAAAGAGAGAGGGGGGGTCACTCCTTACTGATCTTTAACATAGCCTATCCCTTCCTCTGAATACATTAACTGCATACATGAATTGCCAGTGGGAAGAGGGATCTTTAGCACCCCCTGGACACACCCTTTAAGTACAATACAGACCAAAGAGGAAAGTTAAGAATGAACACCATACCGTTATAAATGCATCAACCAGTATTCATCAAGAAATGTATATATTCCATAGTCATTCATTCCAGCACTAAACAGAAGGGACAGGTTTTGCTATCTATAGGTTAGTAATGTGTACAATAGTCATATTATAAGTCTGAGGTGTAGTGGTGTTAGTCAGTGTATGGTATTGCCTTAGATGAAAGTAGGGTGACCCCAGTACTAGGCATAATAGACCATCACCTTGAGCGTAATGTTTTCCCATTTCAGATCACGTCCAGTTCTCAACTCTAATTCTAGTCCACTATGGATTACTCTCCTGGGCCCAGTTTTTCAAAGCCTGATTAGTGCTAATCCTGGTTTAACTCTTAATAAGTCCTATAGAGTTAATCCTGGATTAGCTCTAATCCAGCTTTGAACAACCCGGCCCTGGGCTACTGAATTTATGGACCTATTATTGAAAAACATTTGTGTTGAGCAACAATGTCCTTCCCTTAGTATCATTTCTTTTTTTAATGGTTGTGCATAAGAAGACACATGAATATGGATACAACTCGAGCAAAGAAACATATTCTCAAAAGAATGACACTTGGTCTGAAAAACTTCTCAAACAATACACCCAAGCTGAAAAGGTCTATTTACTGTCCTTCGGTCACCTTAATTTCATAAAAACAGGGCCCATAATAATAATAGCAACTATATAGTAGCTAAGTCTTGACGTACGAGTGAAAACTTAGGGTATTCAGAACTCGTGACCCAACACGATATAACTTTTTACAACTAGTTTCAAAATCAACTGAATGACAGTGCGTGAAGTATGTTGCTCCTTTCAACACAGTACGATAGCACATCAGAGTATTCCTAAACTTCAGTGACCAAAAATTATAGTTTCAAGTCAGCGACTCCTAAATTAAAAAAATACATTGCAGAAAAACCTCAAGTACCTTGGTTTGAAAGGATATTTTATGGTTGATGCTAGCACGATAGCACCTTGGAGTATTCCATAACTCCAGTGACCAAAAATTATAGTTTCAAGTAAATTAGTAAATTAAAAAAGAAATACATTGCAGAAAAACTCAAGGACTTTGGTTTGAAACTATTTTTGGTTATTGATTTTCATTGGTGTCAGTTTAATTTTGGAGTTTAAAAATCACACAAATAATTATTTCTTGCCCATCTCCAGAATGAAGAGAATAAGTGGTAGTGTAAATTAATGAAGCATTAAATAGCTTGGTTTCAATAGCTTAGTCATAAATATGAATATAGTGTACAATTTATTTTTTGCGTATTTGATGTGCATAAAAAYGAAGGTTTGGTGAAACAATTCCTTGTAGTTTTGAGTTTTGTTGTTTGAAAATATGTTCATTTCTGCTGGTGTGGAGTTTGCACAACTGTATTTTGTATTTTAGGGCCATGGCCACTGAGGCAAGGGAGGCTTGGAAAAATGTCACAAATGCCCCTCAAAACTCTGTAAATCACCTTCCAGAGGGTCTCTATTTTGAACGTTTTCTAGATGTATGCCCCCAACCCCCTAATCCTTCGCTGCCCGTTTGCCTGGGTAAACAATTTAGTCTRGCTATGGGACTGGTATTGGGCAAAAAGTTTCACATTGTGGAGTGAAACACCTCTAATGTCAACCCCTTTTCACAATGACATCGCAACACAAGTTTTAGCTTTACAGTATGCTTATTATCATTAGAGTAAACTCTTGTTAGTTGTGTACAACATAAAAAATTTGTATAGCATAATACATGTACCTTTCCCAAATTTAATTGAGTGACCATGATAGGATGGTTTCAAGTCGAGGTTGAACTTATTAATAGAGTAAATGTATTAGTACATCAAACAGTCCAACCTCATCATTGTTTTGTGGTTACTTGAGCGAATCCAGGAAAGTTCTATTTCAACCAAAATAAAGAACCTCTCCCCTTACCATTTACACAATTAACTACTTTGATGATTGATAACCAAAATCTTGCTATTTACTCAGGATTTTATTCACAAATATACATAAAGGCTTGCCAAGTGCTTAAGTATGGTAATACAGTGAATCTCATCTGCAAAAAGGGCAACTTTAATATTATAACCAGACATTTTCTTGCTCAATAACAGTACTAGACAGATAGAGCTGTACACGAATATTATTTATCTTGAGCTGCTTCAAAATTTGCTATTTTATGTCCAAAATTGCACAAAAATGCAAGAATTCCTGGGGTCTTTATGATCATATTCTTGGCGTTACCTCAAAACACAGAGTGAAGCAAAGAAGGTCAAGTTTGTTAAATTCCAATATCAAACAAGGCACAAACTTATTACTTTTATCATGGACTTGGCCATGAATTTTGAAGGAAGCAAGCAAACGCAATATGCTACTAGAAATWTAATTTCTTTAAGCTCTCTCTAAACATCAGACATAGTTATTTGCAAGATGGTTTAGTACCATATCCRGTTTTGCACTAAGCACTGAGTGCTACTTGACCAACGTGGTAACCTTGAATGATCATCGTACACGATAAAGGACCTTGCGCTGTAGTCTGTGTTCAACTTCACCTCTACGTAACATGAGATAGAGAACCATTTGGATAGCACGCTGGGAGTAGTTCTGTTTGAAAGAAAATTATCACAATGGTAATTAATTATTATAATTATAATGAATATCATTACAATGGTAATTATTAACAGTTCATGAAAAGTACAATGAATAATCCAGAACTGACCTGTTTCAGAAAATCACCAATTATCCTTTGCTCAGAAACCTAAAAAAGATATTGAAATGCATGAAT